CATTCGGGTGAAGCCTTCCCCAGTGTGCCGCCTGTTGTCATTGCCTTCCAAGCTGTCGCGCTGTGTCAGTCATAGAAGCTATCCCGTGATGTTTTTCATACCCCAGAGACTGTAGTGTTGCAGCTGTTCACTGTTTCAGATTCTGTTTCACAAGCCTTGCACATTTGTTTGCGGGCACGTGTGGTGGGGCCCCCGCACTGTGCTGCTTTTACAAAGAAATTGTGAGAGCCTCTCCCGTCCTGCTATTCCCTGCACACTGTCCTCGCCTCCCCTGCTCTTATAATTTTTCCATTCTTTTGTCACCATTGATTAAAAAATCCGTGGAAATCAAAGATGAAAGTGCATAATTTAATAATAATCTGTTCTTATTAATTTTTAAAATTTTGAAAAATTTGAATTTTCACAATATAAAAAAACCCCTACCCTCTCCAAAGACACTATCTTACTAATGTTAATAATAATCTATTCCAGTTATCCATATAATTCTAAGATAAGGTTTTAACATACATGCTTCAAAACCTCAGATGATGAGATGCTGCTGCTAGGTGCTTTTTGTGGTTTCTTGAAATAGATAAAGGCCAGAGTGGAGAATTCAGTCTTGAAATACTCTTGACACATTTATAGTTAGAACTTTTGTAGAAGAAGAGAGGAGACTTGCAGGGAGCTATGAACTTTTCAATTAGGGCAAACCATGCAAGAAGGAATTAGGCAGGCTGCACAGATCCTTATCGCATAAAGTTACTATGAAGAAAACTGAAAAATTAATTATGTACTACTGGCTGGAGTGTGAGAGTACCTTGGAGTGTAAGAGTACCTTTATCTTTTTGAGCTAAGATGTACCAGAAACAAAGAAAATTCTTCATTGTGATGGGGCTCCCCTTTAATTTTCCTCTCACTCTTGAGGGGAAATTGGGAAAAAAAAATGGGAACATTATCATGCCTCCGAAAGATTACTCCAATAGTAGGGTGAGAACGTGACAGACTGCAAGAGCAGCCCAAACTGGCCTGAGTGGACCTTTGATCTAGCCCAGTATCCCGCCTTCACTGTGACCATAACACGTACCTAGAGAAGAGTACAAACACAAGCAGATACAGTTCTTCTCCCAAATACTTGCCCAACCTGCAGCCATTTGCAGTTCAAGGAATTATATACAGTATTATCTTTGTTGGCTGATTTTAAAGTGTTTATGCTTTCTTAACATCTTATAATGTTTAACATCCAGTTTGGTTATAGGAATGGAATAGGAAATATCTTTTCACTTTAATGTGGGAAGAGATGTAAAAGTGTGGAATAGAAATATTTATTGAAGATGACTGCTGTTTCTACAAACTTACTAGAAATTTCATTAGATCCTGGGTCCAGTACCCTGCGAACCAGCTGGAAAGGTTGTATCACAGCTATGGTATATGCTTTATCTTGAGGGCTGTGTAGGCCAGCTCCCTGCTTCACCGCGTGCCTAGGAGTTCATGAACTGACTGTGCTGGAACTTGGAGTTAAAAGGCTGAAACTATGTTCTGGGTCCAGAATTTTTAATTGACTGCAGTACAGCATGATTCATTTCCTCTGTGTGGAAGGAACTGAGGAATCTTTTCTTCTGTGTGGGACAGGATAAAAGCATTGGGGTATTTTGTTGGGTCCAAAGATTTGTGTTCGCTGTGGGGAGGAAGCATTGCCTAGCTGTCTTTATTCTGCAAGCTGTCTGGCAACTCCTTGACGTTTCCAGGGCAATGCTTGCTCTTCGCGCTTCGCTCTTAAAAATGTTTGTGTTCTTTTGTTACTCTGCCGATACTAAGACTTTGTGAAAGAATACAAGCAGTTAAAAATATAGTGGTTCAGCTAAAGCTGAACAGAGTTTTTGGCTCCACGGTTTCTGCTTCTCCAAAGCGTCAGTCCTGCTGTAAATAGAGGAGGTGTTCTAGCATCTCAAAACAAACAAACAAACAAATAAGGTTGAAAGAGACGTTTATTTGATAGTCTTGATCAGTCTAAATACAGAAGGGAGGAATTGTTCCTCTTCAGACGGGAAAAGAAAAATATTAAGAAAGGGATGACAAAAAACTGTAAAATGTATGAGCAGTATGGAGAAGGTGCATAGGGAATGCCTGCCCACTGCGGCTCCAGCTGTGCAAGAAGATGGCATCAAATGAAGCTAACAGATGGCAGGTTCAAAATGAGCAGGAGGAGGTACTTCTTCACACACTGCCTGTTGAGGTTCTGGAATGCCATGCCTCAGGCTGTTGTAGGTACCAAAGGGCAACAACTTTCAAATGCTGTCGGAGACACAATACTAGGATGGATGGACTGTTGGGATGACCTTGTGCAATAGTTCTTACGTCCTTGCAGAACATAGCGAACAGGTGTATGCCTGGTGTCCCTCACATAGGTGTTTGTGTCTCACACCAAATTAAAACTGTAGACTTCTGATTCTAAAGCAAAACAGGAGTACCAAATAGCTTTTAATTCCTATAGGACAGAAGTATTCTAACAGTTAAATATTTTAGTTCTGTAGGTGAAAGCTAGAGTGAATATCGTATAAATAGACAAGGCAGTCCAGTAGATTTGTTATAATTACTTACAGTTCCTTTCTTTTATGGTTTGCCTGTATGTTATTCCCAATTAAGAACCGACTTTTTCATGTAAGGGTATACTTGCCCATTTCTAAGCTTAGATCGTTAGGTCTTCCTCCTAACCGACTTCATATCACCTCCTCTGCTAACTTCTCTGGAAAAGGGAAAATAAAAAGGGGGGTTGTTAATAGAACTAATGTAGTTCAGCTAATGTATTAAAATACCAATAAAAGTTGGCAAGATCATAAGTTGACACCTCATAGCTGGTCATGTTGAAACTGTGATGTGAAGGTCAAGTTCCCCTTAGCCAAGAAGATGTGTTGACAAAGGCTGACTTCCTAAATGGCAGTTTTTACTTAAAATGGGTAACACTTGTTTTTAAAAAATCAGCATGAACACTCACCCTTTATTTTTCGTCTAGAGAGACCCAGCACTTTTTTAGTTTAAACAGGACAAATTTACTGTCCTTTGCATTGCCGAGAGCAGTGGCTCCCAGGCTGCTTGTAGCTAAGCCTCGCTTGGTAAAAACCAGCCATGATTCAGGCCTTGTGGGTCCAGCTGGGGTCTTCCAGAGTTCATTAGCTTTAGTTCTGTGCTCCAGCTCTTCAGTCATATGCTTGTACCATGCCACTGAGACCTGCCCCGCTAATTGGGAACTACTGTCTTAGGGATAACTCCTCCTGAGCGCATCTGTCTAAGGGCTGGGAAGGTGTCAGTATTATTGCTCTGGAACACAGTAGATTCTTGCTTCCAGTGCTTGGATATTCCTTGCTTCCTTCTCAGATCCGGGAGCTGGTTCCTGAGTCCCAGGCCTACATGGATCTGTTGGCCTTTGAACGCAAACTAGACCAGACCATTATGCGGAAGCGTGTGGATATTCAGGAAGCGCTGAAGAGGCCAATGAAGGTATGTCATGAAAAATTTGTAGATTGAGTTAGGGGAAAAAAAAATCCTTGTGTTAAATGGTGGAATGATCTTTCCAGTAAAAGTCCTGTTAACAGAGATATTTTGAAACAGGTCAGACAAAGCTCCGAAGAATAAGCAGCTGGGGAGCAGCATGCATGGAAAAGTGGTGGAGAAAATTCGGTGGATATTACCAGCTCTAGCTTCTGAAAGCCTCTAATAAGGGGAATAATAGCTTCTGGATAAATAAACACTGGTTTTGGAACTTTGTATTAGAATGATTAAAAAGAAGAAAATAAGAGATTAGAGGGGTGTGCTGAAGAGATGTATTAAACTTCCTATTAGAATTCAGTCAAAAGCTAAACTTGTGGAATAACAGAACATAGAATAGGAAGAATTACTTACAGAAAAAAACATTAAAGATCCTGCAAAAATGTACATATTTACATAGTCTGTAAAAGGATGATTCATGTAAGAAAAGAATGGATGACGTTTTCTGCAATTTCTGTTAGATCAAGTCCAGCACTTCACTGTTCATAATATCCTACTGAAACTGTCTTTTCCTAAGTTTTCTGAGTCTATTCAACTGAATCATGGAAAAGTTTAGGTAGGAGGAAACTGTGGAAGTCATCTAGTTCAACCTCCTGCTCAAAACAGGGTTGTCAAGGCCTTGTTGAGTTTTGAAAATCTCTAAGGATGGAGGTTTTACAGCCTTTTCAGGCAATCTGTTCCAATGTTTGGCCACTGTCTTTGTGAAGAATTTCTTTTCATGTCTTACTTCAGTTCTTGTGACTGTATTGAATGCTCATGCTCATTCATATAGTAAATCCTGTAGTATGAAGAGTTTTGTAACTGTATGTCTACCGTGAAGTAAAGCTGTCATTCTTGTCTGTACCACAGTAATGAGTATCAGCCCAACTAAGATCAAGATTCCATTCTGTTTGTCACTGTACAGGTATCTGATAAGATGTGGAAGGCTTTTACCACTGATGTTTTTCCAATTGATATATATGAAACAGAAAAAATAATGGAAAAAATTAAGTTCCATTAACATACCTATTTCATAGATAGGAAACCAAAGTGTGGATGGTTTAAATCACAAGTTTGTAGTCAAAAAATGTTGTATATAGTGGATTGGACTCTCAGAAGGAATAATTTGTCTTAGCTTCGTAATGTGGGTAGAACACCATTATTTTAAACCAGCTAGGAACTTGGCCATGTTTAAAAGTAGTTGAAGACTTAGGCTCGCATTCATAAATCTGCAGGAAGATGATTATTCTGTGGCAAACTCTTTAACTAGGGAGTTGACCAGCACCTGAGGTTCCAGCTCTAAGCTGTACAATGGAGATATTCAGAGCCTGTAACGGGAAGAGTATAGGAGGCACAACACTCTACAGAAACTGTCGACAGAAAATTCTGTTTCCATCTAGGGCTCAGCAAACACATTTTAAATATCAGTTACTCAGCTAGTTAACATCTAAAGAATGATCAAACAGATGTTTTTCAAATTCATGTCTAGACTTAGCGTGTAGCAGCTGTGAAATTCAAGACCTGTCAAAATAGAGCTAAGCCTAGATAAATTTGGGTTGTTCTGATGTTAAGTATTTTCATTTTATTATAGTTGGAGCATTGGTAACAGCAATAAAAGTTATCTCTGCATTTCCATCTCTTATTAAAGCTCTTGTAATTTTGAAATAATTGCCTTAAAACAGTGGTTCCCAAGCTGGGATTGTAATCCTGGGAAAAATTTAAATTTGTCTGAGGTGTGTGATAATATGTAGGGAACATGCAGGACTGCTCAGAATTATCAGTTGTGATTGCAGTTTTCGCATTGGCCACAGTGATTGATTTGTAGCTAGAAACAGTCTTTGGGAACCACAGGTTTATGGTCTAGTGTTGCTCAGGCTGGTTTTTTTCTGTCTGAAGACTAATTATTCTGGAGAAATTTTAGGGGAAAATGTTTCAAACACTTTTGATTGAGGACAGTGCATGAAACACTCTGGGCCTATTGATCCTACTTGGATCTTCTGTGAGCAGCTGCACTGTTGAAACAGATGACGGCTGTGGGGTTGCCCAGAAAGCAAGGAGACCTTGGGTTGTGAGCTTGGTTGGAGGGGGGGAAACGGCCTTCCCCGCCTGCCAGCTCACTTCGCCACCGTCAGCAACCCCTCTCAGCGGCCAGCTTTTCCAGTCTAGATCCTGCCTTGTCTTTTTTCTGCCTGTCGGGTACTAGTGTGTTCTCTCCTCTTCTTCTGTCAGTCCTACGTTCTTGGACTACATCTATCATGAGAGTCTCAGAATTTCTCGTCCACAGAGCAGCATTTGCTGCCTGCCACTCTTCGCAAGAGTCCTTGCACTGACTTTATGGAAGACCCACCCACTCACGCGCTCAGAATTCCAGAAGGGACTTTTTAGGAGGGAGTCAGGCAAACAGGGCTGTTCGACTGCAGTGTGGCTAGAGGTACAGATATAGCAAGCTCCATGGCCTGAAGGAAACAGAAACCGTATGGCTCGACTCCAGACGAGTAGATGTCATTAAAGAAGAATGCATTACTGAAAATCTGGACAGCAAGGGCCATGGTGGGAGTGGGATTTATTTGGTTAAGTATAGACATCTACATTGTATTTATTTATATGTAAGCTAGTCACTCTGGACTCCCTTTATAGTCAAGAGTCAGTGTAGGCAATGGAGTTCAGGGCACAGTTCTTCTCATACAGACGTAGGTATTTAAAAGAATATAGCTAAATCATGCCCTAAAAAGTGCCTATTTCTCTCCATTGTCTAAGCCTGAGATAACTAGTCAGTTGTGGATGTAAACATAATTTTAAGACCGAGATGATTCTCATCCCAAGGCTTGAATCAGGGGTCACCTGGCTGAAAGACGGGCATCTAGTGACCCATCTCACAAGCAAGGCTCCTACTCCACACGCTGGCACCACAGACAATAATTTGGTCTCACCCAGTCCAGGGACTGTCACTCTTTCATGGTGAACTGGTGTGAGACATTGAGTTTACCAGACCTGTGTGTAGTTGCAGTTCCTCGAACTAAACGATCTACTCCAGGTTCTCCATTTTTAGGTTAAAAAAGAGCAGTAGTGTCTGAATATAGTCACAATATCTCTCTCCCTGGTTTTGTAAATTGAGATTCTTTCCCCGCTGTCATGGTTTAACCCCAGCCGGCAGCTAAGGACCACACACCAACCATATGTCTCATGGTATGGAATATCCCTTTGGTCAGCTGGGGTCAGCTGTCCTGGCTGCGTCCCCTCCCAGCTTTTTGTGCCCCCCAGCCTGCTCGCTGGTGGGGTGGGGTGAGGAGCAGAAAAGGCCTTGACTCTGTGTCAGCACTGCTCAGCAGTGACGAAAACATCCCTGTGTTATCAACAGTTTCCAGCACAAATCCAAAACACAGCCCCATGCTAGCTACTGTGTTAACTCTATCCCAGCCAAAACCAGCACAGCTGCTTTCAGGTTTTAAGATAACTGAGCAATTGCTCTCGGATTGTTGGGAGAAGGGAATTTGTATTTTTTCTGAAACACTAAGGTTTCTGCCTGCCCTCTCAGGTAAGACTGCGGTTTTTTGCTCACTCTGCCTTGCATCCGCAGCATCGCATAGCTGAGTTCTGCAGTTCTGTCGTTCTAAGAGACTCTCATCTTTTCCGTGTGCTGAGTTCTAAGCCTCGAGCATCCAAGGGATATTCTTAGGGGCAGAAGAACAAATAATTTGTGGAGATTTTTGTGTCGTACTCTGAACCCTACTGTCATTGAGCTCCTGGAATCAAACTTGCACTCACTTCAGTAAACAAATGCAGTCAACAAATGAGTACTTTGCTCATTTACCCCAACTTGAGCAAAGCATTTTATTCATTCTTCATGGGATATTATGGAGAAAGAGGTGGGGATTACTAAAGAAAATTTAAGGTAACTGAGAGCAGTGGCAGCTCTATCACTTTTTAGCTGTTGTAGATTCACCTCTGCCCTTTGAGATCTGTGGCACATGGGCAGTGTAATTCCTTTTCTGTGATTGTCATGTTGGTCTTGGTGCTGGCTGGGATTAATTGGAGGAATTTCTGCTATAAAATAGTTGCCAATTGATTTGAAACATCATTAAAGGTGAGGTTTATTATTTTGATAACAATCTTATACTTAATATGATGTGACGGAGCGAAAAAATTTTAGGTCAGTAGGTCAGTAACTAGAATTCCCTGTAGCAACAGAAAAGTTCTAGAGTTGCTGCAGAAGACCCTAATGACATGTCATCTGATTGTTAAAGCTGGAATGCAGTGTCATCGATGCTCAAAATGAACAGTTCAAACTAGAATGATCATGTGAAGAAAGAGCCTCTGGAACAACCTAGGGAAAGGAAGATTCACCTTGTGAATGTCACTCGGCTTTTATATGCAAACACAAAAAAAATTGGGAGGGACTGAGAGTGGCTGCCTTTTTGGTAGAGGGGAAGAAAACTATCGACATTTAGGCTGAAGGACAATTTAGGGACAACAAGAACAAATGGGGAAAAGGTGGCTGAATAAATGTTAGGCTTGAAATTAGAAAGAAGTTGTAATAGCCAGAGAAGCAAAATTCCTCCAAATCAAGGAGGGGAAACAAAGATTTCATTTTTCAAATTGCACCTTCATGGGTTCTGAAAAGCATTACATGATACAGACCTGACTGTTGCTGCCAGCTCAGTGACGCTAGGGCCCACTGGTGTACTCCATCAAGCACTGCAGTGGTTTTGATAAGATATTTTAAAGCTCTTCAGGGGAAATGTCCACACAAGCCATTTAATGTAGAAATATGTTGAAAGCAAAACAGAATTTATGGCAATTTCAATTTAAACAAAACAATTTATTGAGGGAATGTTATTAGGAATTTTCTCATCTTTAATCATCAGTCATAAAATTTACAAAATAAAAAAAAGCCAAATAGCTTACAGTTTCCCTAGTGTGAGGAGATCAGTCTGGCGACAGATATATCCTCTGATTAGTAGCAATTATACATT